AAAAAAAAAAAAAAAAAAAAAAAAAAAAAAAAAAAAAAAAAAAAAAAAAAAAAAAAAAAAAAAAAAAAAAAAAAAAAAAAAAAAAAAAAAAAAAAAAAAAAAAAAAAAAAAAAAAAAAAAAAAAAAAAAAAAAAAAAAAAAAAAAAAAAAAAAAAAAAAAAAAAAAAAAAAAAAAAAAAAAAAAAAAAAAAAAAAAAAAAAAAAAAAAAAAAAAAAAAAAAAAAAAAAAAAAAAAAAAAAAAAAAAAAAAAAAAAAAAAAAAAAAAAAAAAAAAAAAAAAAAAAAAAAAAAAAAAAAAAAAAAAAAAAAAAAAAAAAAAAAAAAAAAAAAAAAAAAAAAAAAAAAAAAAAAAAAAAAAAAAAAAAAAAAAAAAAAAAAAAAAAAAAAAAAAAAAAAAAAAAAAAAAAAAAAAAAAAAAAAAAAAAAAAAAAAAAAAAAAAAAAAAAAAAAAAAAAAAAAAAAAAAAAAAAAAAAAAAAAAAAAAAAAAAAAAAAAAAAAAAAAAAAAAAAAAAAAAAAAAAAAAAAAAAAAAAAAAAAAAAAAAAAAAAAAAAAAAAAAAAAAAAAAAAAAAAAAAAAAAAAAAAAAAAAAAAAAAAAAAAAAAAAAAAAAAAAAAAAAAAAAAAAAAAAAAAAAAAAAAAAAAAAAAAAAAAAAAAAAAAAAAAAAAAAAAAAAAAAAAAAAAAAAAAAAAAAAAAAAAAAAAAAAAAAAAAAAAAAAAAAAAAAAAAAAAAAAAAAAAAAAAAAAAAAAAAAAAAAAAAAAAAAAAAAAAAAAAAAAAAAAAAAAAAAAAAAAAAAAAAAAAAAAAAAAAAAAAAAAAAAAAAAAAAAAAAAAAAAAAAAAAAAAAAAAAAAAAAAAAAAAAAAAAAAAAAAAAAAAAAAAAAAAAAAAAAAAAAAAAAAAAAAAAAAAAAAAAAAAAAAAAAAAAAAAAAAAAAAAAAAAAAAAAAAAAAAAAAAAAAAAAAAAAAAAAAAAAAAAAAAAAAAAAAAAAAAAAAAAAAAAAAAAAAAAAAAAAAAAAAAAAAAAAAAAAAAAAAAAAAAAAAAAAAAAAAAAAAAAAAAAAAAAAAAAAAAAAAAAAAAAAAAAAAAAAAAAAAAAAAAAAAAAAAAAAAAAAAAAAAAAAAAAAAAAAAAAAAAAAAAAAAAAAAAAAAAAAAAAAAAAAAAAAAAAAAAAAAAAAAAAAAAAAAAAAAAAAAAAAAAAAAAAAAAAAAAAAAAAAAAAAAAAAAAAAAAAAAAAAAAAAAAAAAAAAAAAAAAAAAAAAAAAAAAAAAAAAAAAAAAAAAAAAAAAAAAAAAAAAAAAAAAAAAAAAAAAAAAAAAAAAAAAAAAAAAAAAAAAAAAAAAAAAAAAAAAAAAAAAAAAAAAAAAAAAAAAAAAAAAAAAAAAAAAAAAAAAAAAAAAAAAAAAAAAAAAAAAAAAAAAAAAAAAAAAAAAAAAAAAAAAAAAAAAAAAAAAAAAAAAAAAAAAAAAAAAAAAAAAAAAAAAAAAAAAAAAAAAAAAAAAAAAAAAAAAAAAAAAAAAAAAAAAAAAAAAAAAAAAAAAAAAAAAAAAAAAAAAAAAAAAAAAAAAAAAAAAAAAAAAAAAAAAAAAAAAAAAAAAAAAAAAAAAAAAAAAAAAAAAAAAAAAAAAAAAAAAAAAAAAAAAAAAAAAAAAAAAAAAAAAAAAAAAAAAAAAAAAAAAAAAAAAAAAAAAAAAAAAAAAAAAAAAAAAAAAAAAAAAAAAAAAAAAAAAAAAAAAAAAAAAAAAAAAAAAAAAAAAAAAAAAAAAAAAAAAAAAAAAAAAAAAAAAAAAAAAAAAAAAAAAAAAAAAAAAAAAAAAAAAAAAAAAAAAAAAAAAAAAAAAAAAAAAAAAAAAAAAAAAAAAAAAAAAAAAAAAAAAAAAAAAAAAAAAAAAAAAAAAAAAAAAAAAAAAAAAAAAAAAAAAAAAAAAAAAAAAAAAAAAAAAAAAAAAAAAAAAAAAAAAAAAAAAAAAAAAAAAAAAAAAAAAAAAAAAAAAAAAAAAAAAAAAAAAAAAAAAAAAAAAAAAAAAAAAAAAAAAAAAAAAAAAAAAAAAAAAAAAAAAAAAAAAAAAAAAAAAAAAAAAAAAAAAAAAAAAAAAAAAAAAAAAAAAAAANGTAAACGTTCCAGAAACGTTGAAAATAGTTCGTTTGACTTGATGTGAACAGGAGACGTTCAGAAATAGAATCGGGACCAGATCTCTAATCAGAAACGGGGGACCTAATTCTTGCATTCTGTGAAAATGGGTAAGATTGGCTATAATGTAATTATCTTAATCTTCACTATCATTACTTTTAAAAACCCAGCGAAGCGGGTCCTTGCAGCTAGTTATAAAATAAAATCATTCAATGTAAAAGTGGCACTATTAATTTGGGGAATATCTGCAAATTGTGTGCCTAAGGACATCATATTTCTAAACACACAACTTGGCTGTGAGGTTATTTGAAGTCCAAGAAAACCTGATTATCTTTAAAAATCAATTTATAAAGATCACGTTGAACATTTCCTTCAGGTATGTTATATTCTATTGTAGAGAATGCTGTGCACAGGATACAATATCTGGTCCACAAGAATAGTGGCCACATTGAACTTGGGGAAAAGAATGTGCTGATAAAAGATGTTATTCACTTGTCTGTCCATTTTAACCTTTTTACAATGCACAGTATCATATTTTCCCCTATTGGTGACATTTGGAACTAATTTTTTTTTAAATACAGTAACACCTCGACTTACGCAAACCCGGAGTTATGCGATTTTCAAATCTCGTTGATTCGTCTTTTGTTTGAACGCCACGCAACTCTTGATTACTCACTCCCCCCACACTATTGTTCAGCTTACATGTTCTGACATGTTGTGTGGAATCGACACATAAATAACACAAAGTAAATTGTAGCTATTTTTGTGTTTGCTGTATCTATGGAGACTTGAAAGACTTTATGTGGTGATTTCTTGTAACTGTGAACGAATCAAAAGATGAGATAAGATTAACAAGAACATTTATTAGCTTACATACATCTGACTTGGATTTTACACAAATTGCGAAATTATACCCCGACTTACGCGGTTATCGCTCGGTTCCACCTATCGCGTAAGTTCGGGGTATTACTGTATAATCTTCCTACCAAATTTGATGCCATTCTGATTGTTAGATCAAGCTACAGATGGCTTTGAGTAATGTCAGTTTAATTATGGCCACATTTTATATTCATATAGGTTTATGATATTGTTAAAGCAATTATAAATGTAATTGTGCCATTTCTATTCCTTAGTCATATTCTAAAAAATAAAAAAATAAAAATATGTACACCATAGTTGATTTCTTGTCTCATTTATATCATTCAATATTGTAGATAAGCATTCACATAGCTTAACTTTAACTGTCTTATTATGATTTTATATAATCTCTCATTCTTAAGCTCTCTTGAAACAAAAAACAATAATTATTTTAATAGTTCTTTATCATACCACTTGCATTATGGAAGTTTCAAAACATTTTCATGAAGAAAGAGATATGATATAATAAAAAACTATTAAAAAATTGCCTGACATTAAGCACAGATGATACATAAATTTATACTTTAAAGTCTGGATAACAATAGCTACACTTCTAATCATAATGAATCTCCATTTTAAAAAATTAAGTTAGATAAACATTTAAATATTTGCAATACCTATTACAGGGGCAAATTTAAGGCAAGATTCCAACTCTAAATGAAAAGGCAGGAGATTACTACACTCTTATTCAGAGTTAGAATCTTACCCAATTCAATTTAATTTTTATTTTCCAATTTCAACATTGTGTATACAAATTACAGATAAAGTTACTTTAAGTTAAATTTCTATTTATGTGCATACTAGCCGTGTGTGCCTGGCATTGCTCGGGCTTTCAAGGGAATGGGGAGATCAGATCAAAAGAGGGTGATAAAAACAATGCTCTTAGTACCGAAATATATATTTACTGACCAGTGTGTTTACAATAATAAAACTATAAAAAACAAAAAATTGCTTGAGCTTAAATGGGCTTGAGGGTTGGTTGGAGTGGGGACCACCAAAGTATTTTTTCTAGGTTGTTGCAGAACATTCATGCCAAATTTGATGCAGATATGTCAAATGGTATAGAACCCTTTACTTAACATATATATATATATACCAGAGCTCTCAACCATACGTGTTTTGCATGGGCAGTCCGTTTTTCAAGGGTTCCATGTAGTACACATCTACTATATTTGGCATTTGTCAGCTTTTTCATTGATAATTCCAATTTCCATTTCTTACATTTATTGAATATTGGACAATTCTTTTTCATATAAATAAATCTACTAATCCTTTTTTTCTTGTTGTTACAGTCGATTGTCAATAAACACACTCAAACAACCTTAAAACACAACAAAAATTTTAATAACTAAAACATTTTCAATTGTTTTTTACGACTTTTCTCAAGGTCAACCATAAATATTCTTCAATTGAGTGCTGTATATATTTTTTCTTTGGCTGTCAAAGAAAGCAAAAGAAAAAATATACACAACTCTTTTGAAGATTTTTTTTAAGCAGAAGAATAATGTTTATGAATAAATGTTTATGCAGCCACATAAGAAAAATCGTGACCAAGTGCTGTCTAAATTCTATATTTAGGAAAATTGTTCTTTTACATCACACTGTGGTAATAAAACTAGTACAAAATGATCAAAATCTAATAAAATAATCTTATATCATATTTAATAATTTATTTTACCATTTCTGTACATTTTGCCCTAGAGAAGTCAATCAAAATTGTCAAAACCACTATATTTTGATTAAAATTTTGGGAAAATGTCAGTTCTTTTGGCTATATCAGCTCTTATCAAAATCACAAGTTGAGAGCTGATATACACATTTTGACTTCTATGTATATATTGTATACACAAATTATCTAAAGTAACTTATGCCTAAATTAACTATTAGGTTTTATATGTATTTAATAACTGTTACATGTTAAAATTAAAATAACAATATTTATCACTTACATTTCTCTTAACTTCACATTTTGCAATGGAAAAGACTAGATAAGTAAATAATAATATTAAGAATTTTTTCCATGCGTAACACAAATTCGCCATAAGAGAAGCTGAAACAATTTCAAAATAATTCACGATAATAACTGGAACGGAAACATAATATATTCTCAATACATTTTATAATACGAAACAAAAATTTACAGAAAAATCTTTAAAACACATGACTAGCTGTTATCACGTGATATAGAAAATAGGAGAAAATGTCAATGAGCCTGCTACAATTTTTTTTTCTATTGATTCCTTATTTATATATATGACTCTATAATTTAATAAAATTTATTATATTTTATTTAAAAGTATTAATTGATATATCATATTTATTTATAGTATTATTAATTTTTTAAAATTATGTTTGATTATATATTTTGCTACAATGCGGCTATTAATAAATGACGTCAATGCTGGAAGGCGAGGACGACCAACGCCACCTAGATGGCGTTGGGACTACGACGAAATGCTTCGGAGAAAAAACTAACAGGCTAGAGTCTCCATATGAATCCGCGAGAAAGAAAGATGACGACGACAGTCTTAAGATCAACCATCTCCGGTTGGGGATCGAATTAAACATCGATTTTGACCTCTCCCGCGATTTAAACTGATATTTCGGTACGCGACTATGCAGTAAGCAGACCAGTGGCGTGCCGTGATATTTGATGATAGGGAAGCTGTGTTTCTATAAGAAGCCGACTTCCAGGGGCAATCAGTTAATTTTTTTCTTTAACCTTTTTATACCCGTGGCCCACCAAATATTTCATAATTTTTAGTGACCTCCATTTTTTTAATAATTTATATTTGTTAAATTATCTATAATAAATTGATTTTTTTATTATTGCTATATTTTTTTATAATAAATGTAAAACATAGCTATTATTTCATTATCTATTTAAATAACATTCAAACTTCACAATTAAACATAAAAACTTATTAATTTAAAAAAAAAATAAAATAAGAAACATTTAAAAATTCATAGAAAAAACAAAAAAATATTCGAAAATAATTTAATGAGATTTCTGCTGCTGAATATCCTCAACCAATTTGTTAATTCTTGGTTCAATTGTATGTAATGCTATCCGCATGCAGACATCTAATCGCAATCGATTGCGTTTTTTTGTTTTTTTACGCTTATAGTTGAAAACCCTTTTTCACTCAAATATGCATAAATTTTGCGGCAAACTTCTTACGGACCCCCAAGGGGCACGGCTCCTGTTAAGAAACACTGCTCTAGAGGCACTATGGTCAGTCTTAGCTAGCCAATATGTTTCTGCAACTAGACTCGTATATATATACAGTATTGGACTGTTTTCTTTCAACTCTTTCCGCCCTGTGGGCAGAGCCGGCCCTACCATAGGGCGAACAGAGCAGCCGCTCCAGGCGCTAAGTTTTAGGTGGCGCCTCAGTGTTAAAGAAAAGTAAAGGGTATAAATTAGGGGCCACCAACGGGGGCGCCATAATAGGATCTCGCTCCATCCTAAAACTTGCCTCGGGCCGGCACTGCCTGTGGGCACTAAAAAAATTCTTTTTAGTAAGCCCATTATGGGTGCGACGAGACCTACAATGGGCGGTGAGGGATGGGACCCGATGTATTCGGACGAATCACCCCCGAAAAATTCCTGGGGATTTTTCGATCCAATTTGGATTCGATCCGAGGTCCCCTAGGGCTGCAGGCTACCACTTTGACCGCTCGACTTATTTTGGACAGTCTATCAGATATTAATTTAGTCCATTATGAGGACGATTGTACGACGCTTGACATACGTAAGTCAGACCATTCATAAAAAAAAAGTTCTTGAAGTTACGACCGGATTAAAAACCCAGTCTCTGAAAAAGCTATCTATACTCCTCTGCCATGTATTTACAAAAACATTTATTTTTAAGTACAGAAATGATAAAAGTGAATTTTTCTACAGAAACATGTATAAAAATTATATTATACATTATTATATAAAATATTTAACATTAATTTTTATTTTTCGAACAAAATAAACTAAAATTTTGACAATATTTTCGTACACGTCATAATTATGTATTTTCTTTTCATTTACAAAACTCTCCGCCAGGTGGATATTTTTATTTTGATTGTGTTTTGAAAGCTTATGCAGAGAATTTATATTTCTGAGTTACGCGATGATTTTATAGAATAACTAAATATTTTCATTAGTTAATATAGCAACAGTTTACAGTTAGATACTGAAGATCCAGGTAATTTTACGAAAGTTAGTTATGGGGAATATTAACATGCTGTATTACAATACATTATGTTAATGATTTCAGAGAATTAACATGGAAAATACAGTGTAACAAATGTTACATGAAATTGCCAAATTTATTTCAGTTAATTAATGTTCACCTAGGTCAGCGATTCCCAACCTGTGGTACGCGTANGGATAATGAACAAAATTCAGATAACGAACGTAACGATATTTTGTGTCAAATTTTAGTTGGGGTTAGGCATGCGCAAGTTAAGCATTGCTTTTCCGAGTGTTTATGCTATACTTCTTTTTTCAGTTTTGTGATTTATATATTTAATCAATATGGCATCCAAGAAAGAAAAAGTGGCAATAGACAATGCAACGCAATATGAACGACAATGCGCTATTGCATTTGAGAAAAATTTTGATTAAAAGAGTAAGACAATCAACTTTAGATCAATCTCTTGTTCCTTATGGAAAGAGTTTGTTTGTTTTGTTAAGTTATGGCAACGCAACACTTGGGCAATCTGCCTAGGGGAAATGCCTTCTGGGAGGTGTTTTTAAGGGAAACTGGCCCCTATTTAGGAGTTACAGACGTGGAGAAAACCCGGAAAACTCCAAGTGGCCAGCCCGTCTGAGCGAGGTGAGAGCTCACGAACAAACTCCCCGTGTTCAGGGTACGAAGACCGCTTAGCCACTGGTGGGCTTTCTTACCGAGAGAGACTTCGACTCAAAGAATTTTCCGATGAAGTGCTACCCGTTATATTTTTGGAGGGGATTCCCCTTCTAAGCATTAAGGTTCGTCTATCTCCACTTTTCTGCCACCAACTACAACAAACGAAGGTATGTACAGTACAGTGCTATTTTATTAAACAAAGTTTACATGTTTGTTGCTGTAATGATAGATACTACGTTTTCCTACATTTTCATCAAAGAAAATCTGCTGTATATTACAAATAAAAAATCACAAAAATTTTGGAGACTAGAACAGATTAATTACATTTGCATTAATTTCTATGGGAAAAATTGCTTCAGTTAACGAACAATTCAGTTAACGAACAAAATCGCGGAATGGATTAAGTTCATTAACTGGGGTTCCACTGTATTATTATTTATTGTGAAATTTTGCCGCCCCCTAAAAAGTGCCGCCCGGTGTGGGCCACCCCTGCCACACCCACTATGGTACGCCACTGATGCAGGGTGACATGATATAATAATATGGTTACACAGCCATTTGTCAATATTATATTATTTGATATCATAAATTGTGTTTTTTTCTATAGTGTTTAATTCTAAAAGAAATTTTTTTTAACAATGGCAAACTGGTGATATATAAAAAGAACAAATTTTAGAGTTTGTTCCAGAATACTATAATATGCTTCTAGTCTAGCTTGGAATATACTTGTAAGCATTACGATGGCCTCTTTATTCCTAGACTTATTACACCGTACTAGACAGTGTAATAAGTCTAGGAATAAAGAGGCCGTCATAGTGCTCACAAGTATATTCTAGAATACTATTTGAAAACATTCCAGAAATTATAAGTTCAGGTTACAAGGAACAAAAAAGTTTTAAAGCCCAATGCTGGCTTATAAATGAGCCAAAAATGTTTGTAGTTTTGTTTTTCCATTGATCTCCATGCTGAAAATGTATGCAAGATCAGTGTGAATTAATTTACAGATAAGTTCCAGTTTTAGTAATAATTTTATATGTCATTAATATATGAATAAATTTTGTATAAACAGAGCGGTAGTACTAATGATGATTTTTCAGCAGCAGTCCTGTCCTTTCAATATTTAAAAATCTGTAAAAATACAATTTATTGCATAATTAAAATCTATATATATATAAAAATGGACATGTATGTCCCTATATTTCACTTTTCCGCCAAAACTACACATTGCACGTGAATGGTGTTTGTATGTGGTGGTAGCCCCAAGTCTCCATTCGTGCATAGGGGTGTTGCGTCTCGATAGCTATGAGGGTGCGGGAGATATGAGGCTGAAAGTGGTTGAAAGTGGCTTTCTATTTCGAATGTTTGGTTCGAATTTGTTCGAATTTAATTCGAACATAAAATTCAAATATTGGTTCGATTATAGAACGTTCCAGAAAGTTCCAGAAACGTTGAAAATAGTTC